AGGTTAACGACGTCTTTGCTTCACTCATGGTCGATTCTGTCTCTTTATCATTGTCTGTACCAGCGTCATCGACAGAAGACACAACGGCGGTATATCTGTCAGGTTCGCAAATCTCGTCAACTTTAAGTTTTTCCGTTACTGTTTTTTCACCGGTAGCACTGTTGCAACAAATTGTTCGAACCTCTGTTCCATCGTTGACTCTTTCCTGAAAGGGTTTCTCTAGTGTAGTTGCCTTATCTTTTCTCGGAGATGACAAGCTGTCAACAGCTACCGCAGTTTCCCTGGCACGCTTCCCTTTGTCTGATTTGGTTATGTGGCTTGAAGTTGGGTACAAGAACCGTTTTGGTCTGCTGGATCGCCTTAACCCAGAAGCTATGCACGAAGAACTTCTGAAAAGTTTACAGGGATCATTTGCGGATGATCGAGGCGTAACGGTCTCAGCAGTCGGATTGATTCGGTTGCTAGACAAGGCTTCACTGACGTGTTCAATTGTACATCCTTTACCTTCAATCCCTTGGTCCATTACTGTTCCCGCTGCAAAATCAGTAGTTTCATTCCTTAGTATTGCTGAGTCACCTCCTGTGGCAATTGGTCGGCTTTCAGGGTGTTCTGTAAGTTCATCTCTTGCAGTCTTGTTAAAGGCAACGTCAGTGTGAAACGAATGGTTGTTGGTGATTGGCGACAGTGAGGACCCTGGGAAGACAATAGAAACTGAAGTCAGAGCTACGTTGGGAGAGATAAATGGAGCGGAACGGCCAAACATATATCTCCTTTTTGTTTCCATGAAGGACCCCGGTGGCAAATAAGGTCACTTAACGGCCTCCACGCTTCTCTATGGCACGGAGCAGCTCGAATTTTGAGGTGTTCTAATAATATGTCAAACCATAGGGGTCAAAACTTAAATGTAACTTACTGCCGTACACGAAAGTATACATGTAGATTACGTTTTCTCTTCAGAATATGAATGATAAATTCGACTGCAGGTTTTGTTTTTTACTATTATTCAGTTAATTATTACCTATTATTTAATTTATCCTCACTGTTCGCCAGCCTTAACACACTGATAGAAGCCTTTTTAGAGCAAAAAAAGGTATTGCACAACATACCTCGTCCAGAAGATCGCGAATTTCTCTCCTCTCCACCACAAATCTTGTCTGTCTCACGAGCCATAGCTGCTTCAAAAGACCTTGACGGAGATCCAAAAGATAAATCTGAGGTGTCAAGACTGCAGCGTGCCTCTGCTGACCGAGAAGTGACATCACACTCACCCTCGACTTGCTCCTTCAGACAGGACAGGCTGGACGACTCAGCTAACAGGTGCGTGTCACGTGGCAGATTCAAGTCATCATTCATTGCATCAGATCTGGTAGTGTTTGAAATGCTGGGTTTGGGTGTGGATTGGGCGAGAATCGAAAGGGCAGCCCGTGTGGAGGGTGAGAGAAGGCCTTTTGAACATGGCGATTGTAATGGGCGTTGGTTAACAAGTGATCCAGCATCGAAGTCTGTGTCAGACCGACAACGTTTTTTCACGAGTGGTGAAGCCACCAAAGACTTATCAGCAAGGTTTTGAGAGATTTCAGGGTCCAGGTGAGTTGACTCGTCTCGACTTGAATACTCAAGCAAGTATTCCTGAATTGTAGATGAGTCATTCGCTACTTTTTCTTTTTGAACCGTACCAAAAAAGTTACCCGCTGCATCGTGAGGATTTAACGACTGGTTGTCTTTAACGGTGGCATCTAAGGACGTCTCCAGTGGTTCTACTGATTGATTTGTGCTGATACTAGAGAAAAGAGCTCGGGCAATACACTGCAAAAAGAAATATCCATTCTATTTCATTCTACGTTTCACTTTTTTCTCTCCTTTATTTATGACCGCTATTTATTCCAGGCCACACCTATGACTGTGTGCTGATGGTGTTTCTTTACATGTAAATATCAACTCCGTTAATATTTACATATAAAGGCATATGTGCATATGCAGTACCTAATGTACTGTACAATCGAGGTTTCGAAAACCTCGATTTTAACGCCTCTAAGTATTCTTAACGAAACAGTTTACCCTGGAGTTTCAGGGCAGTCATGTGATTTCTTCAGTAAAAATTACAACACTTGGGTAGGCTTGAGTTTTAAAACCGCCCTTTCCGCTCGAACAAACTTACAAAAGAATATTGGAATTTTAATGGTTTGTCAAATTGCCAGATGGAATTCTGTACTTAAGGTACATGTAGAGTGAGATGGGCTGTCTGCAGGCCTTGGTCTCCTAATAAAAAGAAGTTTTTTTTTCCTTCAAACATAAAGAGCGAAGCTAGTTTTCTTCCTTCAAACATAAAGGGCAAAATGCATTCTCGTGTGATATCTGATTGGTTATCGGCATCTGATATCAACATTAATACGAGAGAATGATAGGACAGTATGAGTCATGCCAAAGTAATGAGACAGTTGGAGCTGTAATAAGACAGTTACTGGTATTTTTTTCGTCCTCCACGTCTAACATAAAATGATCGAGAGATCTTACATGGGAAAGAATTCCAACATAAGAAAAATATGTTTCAGCTCACCTTAGACGTGGGTTGCCCTTCCTGTGTTGTTGTTTCTTCATCAGCATTTTTTTGACCATCGGGTTCCTCTATAAGTGCAAGTAAAAGCGCGTGATGAGGTTGTGCATTTTGCAAGTTTTTTCTTTCTCCTATAAATGAAAACACCATAATCGTGGAGTGTGGGTTCTCGGGACATAAAACATCCCGAATCATTTATAGGTGTCATTTTGCAAGCTTGCTGAACAGGGTTAAAGGGGCGATCTCACGGATGGATTGTTCATTTTGCTTAAAATACCAACTTCACGTCCTTATTCACTTTGAAACTTGAGAAATCACTTGTGAATAANAATGATCGAGAGATCTTACATGGGAAAGAACTCCAACATAAGAAAAATATGTTTCAGCTCACCTTAGACGTGGGTTGCCCTTCCTGTGTTGTTGTTTCTTCATCAGCATTTTTTTGACCATCGGGTTCCTCTATAAGTGCAAGTAAAAGCGCGTGATGAGGTTGTGCATTTTGCAAGTTTTTTCTTTCTCCTATAAATGAAAACACCATAATCGTGGAGTGTGGGTTCTCGGGACATAAAACATCCCGAATCATTTATAGGTGTCATTTTGCAAGCTTGCTGAACAGGGTTAAAGGGGCGATCTCACGGATGGATTGTTCATTTTGCTTAAAATACCAACTTCACGTCCTTATTCACTTTGAAACTTGAGAAATCACTTGTGAATAACAAAATACAACTTTGTGTCAAGCAGATATGTCTCCCAAACATTATTTCAGTCATTACAAACGGCAGAAATGAACTTTGCCGGAAAAACTGTTTGGCAAGCAAGTTTTCAAAAACCACAATTGCATTCCGTTTCAATTTTCTTCTACAAGTTTGTCCATCAGTGCCTCCTTTTTTATTTCCTATGTTATTCATACCCTCTTTTAACGTTTGGAGCGGTTATTTTAATGTTTCACTCAATTTGGTGGCAGTTTCCACTGTTTGGATTATGCTTATATTCGTGACACATCTTCTTTAAAACTGTGAGCGAAAAAAAATTGATTGTACCTTTGAAATGTGCGAGGCGATTTTTAATCTTAGTCCAAATTAAGCTCATGTCAATCACAAGCAGAGAGGTACGAGTTGAAATAATTAAACTTAGATGCCAAAAAGATTTGAGAAATGGAAAATTGGAACGCAATTACTTTTGAACCCTAGACACAACATCATCTTCGGGAAAAGGGGAAAAAAGGGAAATAAAAGGTAATGTCTGAATGCTTGAGTAATTGGACAGAACGCGCCGGAAATATAATAAATTTTTAAAAAACATGTGCTCAGTTATAAACGTTTTCAACAGAGACAACTAAATTAAATACGTGCCGCGTAAAATATCTCAAAGGTACATGTATGGTCGACAAACATGTTCCTAATATACCATTTAACAACGCCAACGGCACAATCGTTAAGAACTTTTTTTGTCATCAACTGCAAGAGCAGAACCCGCTAATGAAAACAAACTGCACTTCATAAATTAACGGACTTTTTGCTACAGTTCAACGACCATTTGGGAATCTCTATTGAATATCGGAGGAGATTTTTGATGATAGTCAATTCGGGCCTAATCTTGAACCCAATCCTCCCCAAATGCATGAAAGGAAAACCTTTAAGAAGACAGTAAGCTTACGTATTAACACTAAGAGCCAAATATCTGGCAAACGAGTTTTTCTTTCTTTTCCTTGTCGCTACATAAAACCTTGAGAACAAGCGAAAGTAAGCGAAATACACGGAAACGTGCAGGAAATCACCTCTCACGAGGGCACGAGCTGCGTTTCTGGCAAATTCTCGGCATCGTTCATAATATTGTGTAATCTACTCACTCTACGAACTTTCTCTAATCGAGGAGACTGAGAGAAAATCGTACTCTAAACTAAACTTCGAATGTTAATATTGTTTGAATGGTACCGTGCTCTCTTGTGCCCTTATTTGTGCTATGAAAGGTTAAGGTTCGAGCCTCCTGTTAAAGATTCTACCGGATCATGCTTGTTGAGAGCGTTCACGCAAGCGATCGTATTTCAGAACATCGATGCAGAAGGAGATTTAATAATCACATGAGCCTAATCGAATTCAATGAATTACGATCACGTGAAGTACAGCATCTGAATCGATTCGGAAACGGCTAATAGAATTTGCATCGGCTTAGTCGTTCTTCACGGCTGGCTCAGCTGGTAATAACGGCTGTTGACCAGCGTCGATTCAGACGCTGAACATCAAATGACTGAGCAGAACCAAATGCAGCAAATTTTTAATGTAGTTTACTGAAATGTGCCTTTCGTTTTTTTCCTTTTTTCAGTTTAGTTCGGCTTGTATAAATGTCGGCGACTTAATCAATTCAGCTGGATAAATTAATTTGAGCGCGCCAAAATTTGAATTCGATTTGGCTCATGTGAAGTATGGTGTCTGAACCGGGCGAAAATTGCTTGTCAGCTAGTATTTCAGATGAAGAGAGGCAATTATACTTAAAGAAGCGATTTCTTACATTGTACGTGAATTCCATACAAAAGATTACACTAATTACGCAATAAGTCCAGCTAAAAGCGTCTAAATAAAGTTCCAATTCTGCAAATATGTTTATTTTTTCTTTCTTCAAAGGATATATGTCCGACTAAGTGATGTTTTTTTGGTCGGACAAAAAATGCGGTCGGGCTTGAACAGGGACGCATTACGCGTCTTTAACGAAAAAATGAGTATGAGACATGCGTGATTGGAGGGTGATTACTGATTGCAGCTGTACATTCACTTCTTTAATATTATTTCCTTGGTATCTCCAGGCAGAGTTTGCACGTCTGCGGCGAGGTAATAGTTATCGGTATTAATTCTGTTCAGAATTAATGTCCGACCACGACTAACCTCAGTCATGATTTCGTCATTGGCCGACTGAATTTTAGTCGAACATGTCCGCGATGACCGATTGTTATTTGCAGCTTGGTTCCTCTGAATTTCTGGCCTATTTACTAATGGCTGTGTCAGAATGGATAGAATTTTAAAATTTATCCATTAAAATAAATTAAAGCTGATGGTTGAGCAGCAGTTATTGGTTGGTGATGTTTCAGTGCTGCACAAGGTTGTTATCACTTAAAAGTCTTCTTAGGATTTCAAAACACGACATATGACTGCGTCTATGACATTTTGACAGATGACAATTGAAGGGGAAAATAGGGAAATTTTCAAGTTTAAGTCTCTCTAATACCACTTTTTTGCACACGTGGAGAATCTGGTTACGAGCCAAAGGGAGGAAATCCTGACAAAAGGTTGGAAAGATGTAGAGGTATCAACCGGTTAAATCACTGTCCAATGGACAAAAAAAAGTGTTTAACCCAATTATATTATTCAATTCGTAGAGATGTTATTCAGTCAAGGTCTGACTCCTTCTAAAACTAACAGTGAGTTATAGATCAAAAACGTTGTGTAAACTGTTGAGAATCCTCAATCTTCGGTGAAAATAAAAATGAGAATTAGCGCTTCTTATCATAAATTAACATTAGGCATTTAATTTCAAAACAGAACTAAATAAAATATGCTTTTCGCCCTGCTCTAGAAAGCCGCTAAAAGCTTCGTCCAAACAACATGAATAATATATGGCATACAACACATAACCGCCTCGGGGTTTTCTTGCAAGAAACCTTAACATTTACAAATTAAGCCAAGTCCCAAGTTAATAAATGACTGGTCAATAATCTGACAAGAGAAGGAAAAGATAAGCTAATATCCTTTCATAATTAATAGATGGTAGAAATGTGTCTTTCTCGTTTTCCTCTTAACGCTCATAT